ACTGATCATAAGAAGAATTTCATATTCTCTGGCTGGACACAGAATCTATAATCTTAAAAATATGTTTTAAAATATATTTTCAATAATTTAGGAGTTTGACTCATCTGCAGTACAAGTAGGGACTTCCCTTTAAGCATCGACTCTTGGTGCTTACTGCAGATTAGTCATATTAAATATCCTTTATTCTATGTTATTTGCAGTATACCTCATAGCTAAATGTGTGGGTGTTTTTGTTTTTGTTTTTTTTTATATTGAAATTTCTCTGCACAAACTTCTAATGCCTCTTGTTTTTCTTTTTATAGTAAAGATACACTAACCTGGTGCACTTGAGTCAATGTCAACATAATATTAATTGAATTATAATATATTGCTATTATTTTGTTGTGTGTGTTTCCTGTAGTATTTTTTTTTATTATTATTATTACACATGTTAATACATATCTATTGTCTGTGTATTGCATGTGATATTGTTTATAATGATTTTGTTTGTATGCTATATGTCCTCCTGGGGCCCTAATTTGGTGAATATTCAATGAAGGAACTTACGACAGTTAACCCTTTGTTCTTATTCGCACAAAAAAACAAACGGATTCGAACAGCTTTTTACCTGAAATTTGTCTTAAGATCATTTCAATAAATGAAAATAAAGTAATTTGAAGATCTTTATGAAAATGTACTATACTAATGTACATATGGTACACGTTTTCCTTTTAGAACCGAAATGTATATTTTTTTCATTGATTTCTAGTTGTCTCTTTTATCCTTTAACCAATTTCCTATCACCGTGAAGTATATTGTTATTGAGTAGATGTGTATGATTTACTTTATTTTGACCTTGAGGTTTATTTATTTGTTTTCTTTGTTATCTTTTGGCAAACAAGATTGATGGGTATTGAAAAGAAAATGTATATATTTCTGCGTTTGCAGATTTTATTTGAAAGGGGAAGATTATTATGTTTCTTGAGATATTTTTCTCTCCTACATACCATGTGCATTTTTTCAATAACAGATGTATATAAATAACCGAACAACAACGAAAATGGAACTGTGATTAAAAATAGACTTTACAGTAATAACCAATGAAAAGGTATTCAGAATCGTTGTCCCGTGATTGATTATACAGATAAGAGATGGATGCCGAAGCAAATGTCGTTCACAGAAATAGTGCACGCGATCATAATCACATCATGCACATATATGAAATTGTTTAATAAAAGTTTAAAACTTGAAAATTTTAAAATAAAAGAACAATCAGAATATGTTCTGGGCAGGATAGATCTGACAGAATATGTTCTAGGCAGGATAGATCTGACAGAATATGTTCTAGGGTTTAGAACTTTTTTAGGATCGAATAGCTTCAGTCAGGGTTTTCTACCTCCAGACATATACTTAGTATTGCCTAAGTCCCATTTGGCACAATTTTTCGGAATTTTGGGGTTTTAATGCTCTTCACCGTCGTATTTAATTTGGTCTTCCAACTGTTTAGATATGGGCGCCCCAATGAGTCTTGTATAGACTAAACGCGCGTATGTGGCACTAAATTCCTACACTGACCCAAATTACATTTCGACCCTATAGTGAATAAAATTAAGTGCATTCAGCATTCTTTTTGTATTTTTTAGAACCCTAGATGTTATCAAATCTATTTTACATGTTCGTTGCGTAAGCTATGGTAAATGTGATTGTTCTAGCTAAAAAAAACATAGACAATATTGCTTTCATATGCAAAAAGCATTATTTTGAATGCCTCGTTAAAGAACCTGGAATCAACAATACATCAGGTGAACCCACCATTTTTCGTTTATTGTTTTGTACATAAATCAGGCCGTGACTTTTCACGTTTGAATTGTTTTACATTTGTTATTTCGGGGCCTTTTATAGCTTGATATGCGGTATGAGCTTTGCTCTTTATTGAAAGCTGTACGGTGACCTATAATTGGTCATTTGGTGTCTGGTAGAGAGTTGTCTTGTTGGCAATCATACAACATTTTCTAACCACTAGTTCACTAAAATGTTCCCGTACCAAGTTAGAAGTCTCTTCGGTGGTTGTCGTTAATTTATGTATTTTGTCCATTAGGGGGATCTAGTATTAAAAAAATATATTAAAAGCGGGATTGAAAACGAAGTCTAGAATAAATAAAGCCAAGAAAAAATTGTCAATCTACAATAAAATATTTTGTTCGGACCGACATTCATAGTATAAATAGAATCTCTATACATGTATATACCTGACAATAAAGAAGTTGGCCTCTAAACAATATAATTATTTCCTTTATTTGTATTGACTGGTATTGGCATAATTTTAAATTTGAAAACTTAACTGTCTCGAGAATCATTCATAGTATAAATAGAATCTCTATACGTGTATATACCTAACAATAAAGAAGTTGGCCTCTAAACAATATAATATTTCCTTTATTTGTATTGACTGGTACTGGCATAATTTTAAATTTGAAAACTTAACTGTCTCGAGAATAGAAATAACGTATCACATTTAATGCTATTGTTTTCAACATTTTCTCCTTAGATTAATACCAATAGCTGTTATTGTATTAAGTTGAATTGACACATTTTTTCTTCAGTATATGACATATATTGTTTCTTTTAGTATTGTTGCGTCTAAGCGTGGAATGTAACCTACTATATACGTCAATCCTACAAGAGAAAACAAAATATTGATTAAACGGTTCCCAGTGCAATTGTTGTCCAGTCTACCTAACCCAAAGCATGAAAAGTCACTAAATGCTTGTCATGCTGAGGATAACTCAATCATACTATTCTGTCATCAGTAACAATTTTCAAGGAATGGAATAAGGGACATTTCTGCCAAAGCAATATCTTATTTTATTGTGAAACAAACAAAATGTAAATTTACTGTAATTCGGATTTAAAACAAAAAATAAGGGAAATTGGGATACGATTTTTGATCATCATGATTATATATGTTATTTACCTTTTGTTTGACCCTCTTCGAACCCACTTATTTTCTACCTGTCAAAGCTTCTAAATTAATAGAATTAATCTTATTTCGATGTTTTAGAAATGTTGGTGAACCTTTCACCATTTCAGGAAATTGATTACGGCAGTATTGGTTAAAGATTACAGGATTTTATTGTCAGTTACCTGAATAATATCATCGTACAAGAATTAATATCAACGCTAAAATAAACCAGTTAATAAATAGCATGATACCCAGTTTCATGCAGTCTTCCAATATTTTGAAGGTAATATTCCACATAGTTGTGTTGGAATTGGCATCATTTGTATCATTAATCTACAGTCATGAATGAAATTAAAATTATGAATCAAATTGTTAGATAAATACATTAATATTAAAGTATGTTTTTTTCCGTTTTTATTTGTTGTTTTGTTGTTATTGATTTTATATAGTTTTGCTTTTCTTCTTTTTAATTGAATTACCAATCAAGTGCTTTTTTTCTTTCCCTCAATTGTGACATCACCCATTTTTTATTTGCCATGAGCAACACAACGACCTCACAAGTTGGGCGGGAACTGTTTACTTTTCCGTGAAATCTTATTTCACCACACTTTTTGATGGGTTCGTGTCGTTCAATCTTTAGTTTTCTGGGTAGTGTTTTGAGAACATGTTTGTCTCCAGGGCTTTTTTTTTTTTATTTAATCCTGATATTTTTATTGGCCCCTTTGGTATCATGTGCTCAATGATTAGCGATTCCGTACTGATATGATTTATATCGTATTTTTCTAAAGTTTCCAGTTTGAATTATGTCTACAAATAATTAAGACACTTAAGTTTCTACTCCTTCAGGCAAAGTTAACCTTGAAGGAATGTTGTTACTCTTTTATGGTTCATTTTGCTTATAGCTCCTTTCATTTAGACTTATCTATTCATCCCTGGCTTTCGAATGTTTAGGTTTGAACGTTTCTGATGAAGGTAAATCCAGAAAAGCGCTTATGACGCAAAACATTCAGATACCATAAAACATATGTTCCCTAACACACTCTGTAATAGGAAATAAAGCAAATAAATAAAATCTCCGATGGAAGCATAAACAATAGCAACAAATCAAAACAGTATTGTAGCAACTTTGACATGTAATCCATAAGCGCCTGCATACGGAGTATATATCTCGCATTTGATACGATATTCCAGGGCTTGTATTTCCTATCATGATTTCCTTGAAAGAGGGTTGCTGCTCACAAGGAAGCTATTAAACCAAGAGTTCAAAGTGGTGAAGTTGAAATCATCCCTTCGTAAGTTTTACGGACGCCATCACGAATTGGTTGACCGTTATGAAATATCCGTTTCACAGATAATAGCGAATATGCTCCTAATGTCGTAACCACAATCCCGTCCCCGAATGTGACCTACCTAGTTAGACTTATTACCAGGTTTGTACTAACATGAGCAACACGACGGGTGCCACATGTGGAGCAGGATCTGCCTACCCTTCCGGAGCACCAGAGATCACCCCCAGTTTTTGGTGGGGTTCGTGTTTCTCAGTCATTAGTTTTCTATCTTGTGTTTTGTGTACTATTGTTTGTCTGTTGGTCTTTTTCTTTTTTAGCCATGGCGTTGTCAGTTTATTTTCGACTTATGAGTTTGAATGTCCCTCTAGTATCTTTCGCCTCTCTTTCACAATGCTTTTGTTAAATGACAAAAAGCTACCCTTCAAAGCATATTGCATCATCAACTTTAAGATATTACTCAACAATCTTTTACAATCCAAATCGTTGAAAATGTATCTGAAATTTGATTGACATAGTTTTTTAATCGTGAATGCTTGACAGTCACTTGGATGTTTCGTTGCTGTTTTATTTTGACGCTCCAGCACTTCACGGTATTTGAAGAATTCGTTCAAGGCAGTAAATGTATTGGTAAAGAACATACATTATAATAAAAAAATACCACTTTGAATATCATTTAGTTATACACAAAAAGTTTGATCACGTCATCAAGGCTTGAATTGTATTTACCTGTACTCGATTTTGTGACAAATATTATGGTGTTTTTTTTCCAGGCTTACAACAGGAAGACATACATATTGTAAGTACTTTTTTATATACTCGGGACCAGATGTTTAGTAATTATTTCACGGGGTCCTCTTCAAGTACAACATTAAATTTACAAATTGCCGCTTTGTTGCTTTGTTTCACAATGACAGGTTGATAATTCGGAGCTTTCGAGATAGTTTGTTCAAGTCTAATTCAGTCGTTATATTTCGCTGCTCTACGATTGCTGCATTACCTCGCAAGTTGTCAACTAATAACAAAATGACGTTAAAAGTTTAAAACGTGTGCTTTAAAAATCAAGATTGGTGATGCCCTGTACAGCAGACTATGTCGGGTATATAAGTCAAAGATTATGGTAGTTCTAAGCATAAAGTCTGTTGGTGTCAGTATTTTCTCACATATGTTGGGCTTGCAAAGATTTTCCTTTAATTGTTTTTATGTCATAATGTAACTTGGTTATTCCTGAACTCCACCGGGTAAATAAAAGGATAATCAAAAATATTTCAGTCTATTGTACAATGTAAATCTTGTTGCGGCGGTTATACATTTTCCGTCTAACTTACGATTTACAAATGAATTGCAAACTGTTAAATTTGAAAAAAAAGTCCAACAAACTTAAGTAATGCTACATTTAATGAGATATATAACATTGTCACAGGCTATAAAATGTGAGGAAACATAAAACTACAAAAACTATATAAAATTACTCATAAGTTTAAGTGTTTTTCCATTTTAATATCTTTAAAAAATCATCTCAACAGCGTTCTTTCTACATGCACTCATATTACATGATACATGCACATTGTGCAAGACTGTGGTCACATCACCAACTTCTAACATAGCGCTCATTAAACCTTATTGATCAAGCTGGGTGGATATTTAGAGCAGAGCAACCAGGATATGGTTAACCGAGATATGTGCATATAACATAGCAGGGTCTACTCAAAGTGCATGTCGGACAGATTTCTCTCAATGAAATTATAATGCTATACAGTTCGAGCAGCTTATGTAATATTTGACAGTCCCTTTGGATATTCTTCATCGCGATACACAAGATCGTGTAGGTGATTGAAAATAATATCATTATGTAGACTTTTTTCAACCTTTCCTCTATCTATTATAGTAGATTGACTGACTGTCATAGATAAATCCGACTTCATCGGTTAATTGGTTTTCAACTGCAAATAATAACTACGTTTTTCTATTTGATTTGTAAATTACACTCAACTGGGTCAAGCAAAAATACTGCAATGACTAAGTCTTGAATATTAACTGCTTAAATCAATAATGTATATCCGTTAGTTTCAAAATCCAATCCACGATTTCGTTGTCTATTGGTCTCTAAACCAAACGTTTACATGCTTTTAGTTAGTTAAGCACAACACTTTTATTTATTGCTGAACATGAAGGAAACACAACCGAAATTGACATATTACATGTACATGTATCTGTCATTGAACCAGTGAATGGAATTGAAATACAGACACATATTCGAAAAGAAAACTTAGTAATTGATTTCTTTATTTTTGTTTCGGTCTGACGTGGCTTGGTATTTATACATCCTGCATAGGACAATTGGTGTCTTTTATTAGCATTGGTTTAATTGCCAGATGAGAGGGATAACCACATTTCTATAATCCAGTCAACCATTGCGATCAGAAACTGTAACATATGTAAATATATATAGGAATTTTTAAATGAGCATTAGCTGTCCAATTCATGTTCACCAATTTGACTCACATTATCGTATTTGATTTGTAACATACTAAAACGTATATCCAAATTATTAGAAGTCTAAAATAAACAATTTACAATGCATAGGCTCGATAACATGTATCAGCATTTCTTGTGTATTTAAGTTTAGACGCCATCTAATTAACTATCGATATGACCTCCAAAGACAGCCGACGGTCATATAACCCGATATAAACATAAATATGGATACAAATAGATAGCGAACTCGTGCAATTGGATTTTCCTAGGTCTGTTTGATTTCATTTTATAGGTAAAAAATTGTTTCACTTTCAATGTTAACATTCTTTTCCCTTTAATAACTGAACACGCCTAACTCATGCGTAACCCATCTCTACCTAAGGGGTTAAATTCACCAGCGATGTTTCTTAGCTTATTTTGACAAAATTGAACCAAACTGGCTGCTTAATGCGAATAATTATTTCACTATTTCACTTTCATTAATGATTGAACAAACAAACAAATCATATTTTATAGTTTTTATATCTCGTAGCTAATGCCCCTTTAAAAACTTTATTGGAACAAAAGACATAAGTTTTTCCGTATTTTTTTTTTTATCTTATCAGTTTGAGGTCCACTTTTAATTTCAGCATGGCCAGTTGCGTGATTTACGATCTCATGACTCTTTCGCTATGCAACTTTTTTTTATAACTATATTGAACAATGCTAAAATGATATTAAACTCTGGCTTACACAATTTTAAATATCATTATATACTCATATTAACCATTATAGCAAACACAGGTATTTTTTTAATGTTTATTGGTTTGTGAAATCGGTCTGTCACTCACCAAGTTGAAATAAAGTCCTTTAAGCTTCGTGAATAACCTTTATTACTTACAATTCCAATAAAAGCACCACCATAGTTTAGATAAATTTCAGAGCTATTTCGTCTATGTAAAATCTTGAATGTAGTTTTGATACTTGCACAACCGGGAGTGTATAATGCTTAGTATGTATTACGCAAAAGTATTTCCAAGAAAGAACCGGATGGTGGTTAATCGAAAAAAGCGTACTCAATAAATAAATTAGATGTGATATTTTTTAATCATTATAAGCTTATAAAAAGGGTATTAAGAAAGATTATTTTCCGCTTCATGGCGAATGTCCTTAAACAAATTAATGAAGGGATCTCAAATAAATAAATCAGATATAGTGTTAAGCAAATGTTGATATCGTTAGACAAGTACAGAAATTTATATATGATTGTTCTTTGATAAATGAACGGTACATGGATTTCACTCAGGCAGTTATGCACGAATGACAGCCAATTACCAAGCAAAATGATTTAAGCAGATGGACAAGAGCTGTAAGAACAATTTATAATTTTAATTTGTTGCTTTAATAATAACGGTATGTTTGAAAGCGTTTATTTTGTGAGAGACTTTATTTTTAGTTTTTGGCTCTAGCTAGCATAGGTTTTGTACCTTTATATTTTCATAATAAAAAGTTGAATCGTTGAATTCGTTCATATACATCCGACAAAAGTGTAAAAAGATTCAATTTCTTATGTGTTGGTGTTTTTTTAATCGGGTCGTATTCTTTGGAAGCCTCAATGCAGCTAGAAATAACTCGATAAAATAATGCAAAATGCAGAGTTTTGGTGGAGTAAAAACAAATTTAGCACGCGAATAGACGCATGCAGTTTCAGTAGGAATAACATAGATTCTTAATAAATCGTTAAAGTCCGTTATTGGTTACATGCTCTCTGTTTTATTTTTGTTTTTTTTCTATCTAGTTCATTTATTATTTTAGCTAACAGTGCCACACAGTTCAGCTGTACTTGTTATAGAGTAAGTATATATACAAGTTTCAATTTACCAAAGAATTACCTATTCAAATGATTGTGTCTCCTAAACAAACTTTGGAGACTTATTGTTTTTGCTCGGTTCTTATTTTCTCACTCCGAACCAATGTTGGTTGACATATTGTTATGGTACGTATCTTTTTTTGTCGTATTTCTATTATTCTTCCGCACTTTTTGTCCTGTATATTTCTCAAAGATGACTGGGCCAATTTTGATGAAAATATGCCATAATGATAACTACCGTATGTAAATATGCAATCAGGGATTAACATTTTTTCAAATGATCACTATTGCAATGGAAACAGAAGAAATGTAAAAAATGTAACTTTACAGAAATGTTTCCTGTAAAAAGAGATGCGAAAGATGACATTCAAACTCATAAGTCGAAAATAAACTGACAACGCCATGGCAAAAAAGGAAAATAGCAAAAGACAAACAACAGTACACAAAACACAATATAGAAAAATAAAGACTGAGCAACACGAACCCCACCAAAAACCGGTGGTGATCGCAGGTGCCCTAGAAGGGTAAGCAGATCCTGCTCCATATGTGGCACATGTCGTGTTGCTCATGTATGTACAAACCCGGTGATAAGTCTAAATCAGTAGGTCACATTCGGGGAAAAGAGGACGGGATTGTGGTTAAGTTAATTGTACCGTCGTCATCTGTGACACATTATTCTATAACGGACAAACAACTCGTAATGCAATTCATGTTTGGAATTTTCAATGTAACATCTTTTTAAACCCGGAAACTTTGATGAGTTTATTTACCATTTGAACTAAAAGACAGGGATGACGTCAGCTTCTGCTTGCATTTGCAATTCTAGTTTTTTATTATTCTACTTCTTCCGCCTAATCCCACCTGAACTTGTAAACAGAGCCGTTCCAGAAAGCGCTCGCTAGTCATGTGTACGTAAGGCTCTAAAATGTGTTCGACCTACATGTCAAAATGTACATGTACCTGCAGGCTTTTGTATGTGCATGTGGTCTATTAAGAGGTAATTCAAAGAACCAAAAGAAGGTTGGAGTTTACTCTAGAACAATTTGGGGGAAATGTTTAAATGGTTGTAATTTGAGAACAGTTAGTATTGAAGATTTATCATGAATACATATGGTCTACTGTAGGATCAAAAGGTCAATGGTGACCTATGTCATAACCTTTGAACTTGAGCATTATTTTTCACAAAAACTGTAAAGATTGATAATCTAAAGAAGACAAAAAATGTTCTACATGACAAGGTAAAATGCATTATATGATGAGTTCCAAGAGGTCGTCACCCCTGCCGTTTGATAATGTTCAAGTCGAGATTTCCATCTCTAAACCATATATTTGTCATATGAAGATGAATTCAACGATTAGGTGAGTATACAGTGGTTATCCCCATCATTTTCATTTGAGACTGTAAAAAATCTTTAAAATGGTAGAAATCACTACCGCGCTAAACCATACATGTATATAGGTCAAGTCACCAGTGGTCATGGCCACCCCTATTAAATATCTTGGAAATTGTTGAGATCCTAACCACTAAAACATATATTTTCTTGTTTGTCTTATCAAGATGAAATTATATCAGACATTTATTCTAAAACAAACAAACATGGGGATACAGTTTGAATCACACATAAACAACTGCGATCAAAGAGAGGTCGATCGACATAGTAAGCATATCCTGCTATGCATCCATCACCGAACCGGCTGTAGTGTCAAATTAAAATTTATGTCCTTCGACAGACGATTGAAATGTCACTAAAAGATTTTCGAAATCCATAAATACACTGAAGTGATAATTTGAGTCGTTCTTTCTTTCGACGCCTTGCTAGAATCACATCTCATCTTAAACAGATTTTCTTTGAGTTTTATATTTATAGTATAATTTTTATTTCCCGGGAATTTAATAATATAACTTAAAAATGCGGTAACTGTTTTTATTTACACACTATATTCAAATGCCTGCCACTACCTACTTTTATATATATATATAACTTTTTGCATGAAAGGAAACAAAGATAAAATTGAGAATGGAAATGGGGAATGTGTCAAAGAGACAACAAACCGACCATAGAACAGACAACAGCAGAAGGTCACCAACAGGTCTTCAATGCAGCGAGAAATTCCCGCACCCGGAGGCGTCCTTCAGCTGGCCCCTAAACAAATATAATATTCTTTTCGATAGCACATTACAAAATGAATTATCGTTTGTGTGATGTGCAAATATGATTAGGTTTAAATTTGTGCGAAATATATGTTAATCACAGATATTTGATGCAATGTGAAGATCATTCTCCTGAGATTGGAATCACTGTTTTTCCTTTTTTTAATTATCAAATTGTTGCTCTTGGTGTTCTGACTTTTCCCAAAGTACCCATTAAGCTTCGGTATACTTTATAGTTATACATGGTATGAGTGCCAAAGCAATATAATTCTACTCGTTTCCGATGTCTGAACATCGAACCTTTGAACGATCCTTTATAATTTCCCATTGATCTGACTGTGAAGTCTGTCAAAGAATTTAGAGCAATAATATTTCAACGAATTACGCAGACAAATCACATTATTCCCAACGCCAGGATTTAGTATACTTTTACTTCAGAAATACGAAAGAAACGTTTCTTTCTCAGCAGATATTATCTTAAATGGATATCGACGTATCGTGATCAATTCACGAAGCAATTCTTGTATGGGGCTCTACTTTGGAACTCTGTAGCTATTTAAATGTGTATAATCTGTGTTTATGGCTCATATATGCTCGGGGTCAAGAATTCTGTGTTCATTTTTACAACATTAAATCTGATAAAAACAAAATCAAATTACAAAAACCATAAATCTAGTGGTCACGATATGGTCTTCAATGACAAACAAGTATTCATCCATCCTCCAAACCAAATACCGAACTCTAAATTGTCAAGAGTCAAGGCAATTTATGATATGAATGAATTCATCAAATACCACCAAAGATCTGCAATTATCCCAAAACATTAAAATGATGTCATACATTTTAAAATATTTCTTTATATGAATGATCTATGCAGAATAATTTTAAACCACTGCACTTGTGTTTGTAAAAACTTATCAAAAGAGCTTTCTATGGATATTATGTTTTTACTCTTATTTTTTGTAATTCAACTGATTCAATGTATATGCCTAATATTTGCAGTAATATACATCGTGTACATTGATACTCGAAAATATTTGGCTTAAAAATCAAAGTAATTTACTAAATATGTGCCAATTACAGACAAAATAATGTAAACATCCAGATATATGTAGATCAAATACCAATCAAATATAGATGCATGTATCTAAGTAAAGTGTGCTCGTAAAACGGGAACAGGATCGTATCTTTCGTATGACGCTTTCCCTCTACACTTCTTTTAATGTTTTTGTGTCCTGAAAGTTAGTATACATTACTTTTGAATTGACAGTAAAATACAATACCAATTACCAGTCAACCAGGAATAATCGATCAATAGGCAACACGGTAAGAATACGTTCCTGTGTAAAAAATTTTCACCAGTCTCTTAGTCAACACTGATTTCAGATGAATCGACAAATTCCATATATACTCTTTTTACAAGGATAACCATGAGAGAATCCGAAGTAATGATATCCACTAGAATTTACGGACTACTTTTGGGGATTTTTAAAACACGTTTATACAACAAACAAACAAAATAAGTCTTACGCTTGTACTATCTTATCGCTGGATTTCACTATGTCTTATTTGCTATTAAGTCAGGATTACTACCCAATGAATGTACCTCTGACAGGGAGGTTAACTTAAATATTTTAAATTGTTGAGAAAATTTTCATAAGTATATTAAATAAAGTATAATATACGCAATACACAGCTTACATATTATATCATTTTGTTAAAGAAGAGACTTTGATCGGACTGTGAACATGTATTGAATTCATTATCCTGCAGCGTTCAGACAGTGTATTTCACTTTCTTATTCAGTTTTCCCATTCGATCCCAAATTTGTACGTAATGCTAATTGCCGAAAAATAATTCTCGAACTAATTTCATTTAATTTCATAACTATTTATATCTCTTTCATCTGATAGCGCTGACTTTCTAAATGAAAACCGATACTAAGGAGAAATTATACCTCGACGGAATTTCATACAGAAGAAAATGTCTGCATCTACTATTCTTATAGAGAGTCAGTAACTTGATTATCCTGAATAAAATACAACCCTCTTGATTGCAAATAACATAGCACTTTATTGTAATGAAAAGCTTAAAAATGCAAATGAACACAAGAGTCTAAATCTATCAACTTTAAAGAAGAGGCAATACATCATCTACAGCAATGTTATTCGACTGGAAAATATATCAGAAGAAAGCAAAGCTTAAAATTTGCAGTTATAATTATTGTCAACTGAATGATGAAACTCTTAGAAATTAAGATAATACGCAGTACAGTTTTGGTCCCACGGTGATTTTTTTTACGAAAATTTGCATACAAGCTATTTCAAATAAACAAGTGAATTCAAATATGTAATAAAAAATATACCTTCATGTGCTACTTTAAGAGATAAATGGGGTCGAAATTTTAGACATTTACTCAAAATTTCGTTTTTTTTGGACATTTCTATTCTTTTGATAGACATACCTAACTTTTTTGTTTCAAAAGATAAACACAAGCGAATTTTTGTAAAAATATTTGGAAAATCTTCTTTACATAAGTATGCTCTAAATTTGTATAACAATTCTTTGGAAATAATTAATTTTTATCAAAGTTTCATGATTTTAGAAGAAGAAAAAACGGCATTTTTGCTGTATATTTATCTAATTTAAAAAAAATTCGTCGGTGACATTTTCATAAAAATTGGTACAAATAATCTTCATACGTAATCAAACCTAATGTCATTTTAAAAAAGAGGGTCCATGAACTCGTTTTCAAGTTAAATCAATCTGAATGACAACAAACGCATCTTTTTCCGAAACTGTCACAGTTTGACGTCGGGAAAATAACACTT